GTGTTTCCCGGGAAAGAGAAGACGCACCCCGGCGAACATTGGTGTCCAAACTGGAAAGTGTCGGTCAACGATAGGTGCAGCCATCCTCGGGTTGCCCAAGAGCTAGTGATGCACTCCACCTTGCCAAGGGACTTGGAGTTCATGAAGAAACTGTCCCCGGCCGAGATGGTTCAAAGCTTCATGGTGACCACAGCTTCCAACTCAGCCTTTGTGGCCGAGATGACACACCGATACTGTGCTTTGGTCGAGGAGCAGGACACCGGCAAGCTGCAGAATCAGATCTCCAAGTTGGAGAAAAAACTGGCGGTGTCCGAGTCTGAGAAGGCCGAGCTTGAAAGATGGCTTAAGGAGGCCGAGGTGAAGGATGAGGAGGCCGTGGCTACCATCAACAGTCTCAGATCGGCCCTCGAGAAAGAGCAGAAGAGGGGGGACGAAGTGAAGAAGTCACATGAGCAAGCTCTCGAGGGTGCTGGAGCCTCGGTCGTTGACGCTTTTCGGAAGTCCGAGGCCTTCATCAGGGACCTCGGCCAACTGCTCACGCCGAACTTCATGTTTGGCTTCACATCAGCCATAGACGAGGCCGCAGCTCACCTCTCCTCCGAAGCCTTGGAGTCTTTGAAAAATCATGTCAACTACAATGAGGACTCCAAGGAGTTATGCGACCGGATGGCCGAGGGCATCCAAGCTGGAAGGAACCTGGCTGAGGTCCAGGACGAGTTCAACAAATGGCTGTCCGAACTCGACGAAGTGCTCGAGGAGGACACTGAGGGAGACCTCGGTGCAAAGGTGGGCGAAGTGCCTGGAGGAGATGAGCTTCACCCCGGCGGGGAAGAGACCAGCGAGAAGGCTGCCCAGGAGAGAGCCAAGACCGGGGATGGAGCCGAGACGGGGGTCTAGGCTTGTGGGTCTTAAAGGGGTGGCCGAGGTGGAGATTGCTTAGTAGCGTTCCGACCTTGGCCTTGTATTTTTTGTAACACCTCTTTTCTGTTGAATGAAAGTCTATTTCTTCTCATCTCAGCACTTTAATTTCTTATTTTGACTTCGTCCCTTGCTTGTCCCCCTTATTTTTTAACAGCGCAATATCGATGTTGAAAAATAACATAACATCCGAAGTCATAACTTGATTAAAAATTCAAGCATAATACAATTTGAAGTTCTCGGCGTGCCAAGACCTCGGCACTAATGAGCCATCTCGGTAACTCAGTTTACAATATTTCTTAAGGTCAGATTCCACAACTCGGTAAGGCCTTCCCATTTCGGGCATAATTTCCCTTGCGGTTCAGCTCGGCTGACTGAGTTTTTTCTAAGAACCAAGTCTCCAGGGTGGAATCTACGGTGTCTGACGCGGGCATTGTAATAATGTGCCAGTGTGTTCTTGTAGGAAGCTATCCGGGCTGAGGCGAGGTCCCTTCGTTCATCGACGAGGTCGAGATCCAGCTGCCTCTCTTCGTTGTTCACCTCGGCGGCATAGGCTGCCAGCCGAGGGTTGGGGGTAAAGATCTCGGCCGGGATGACAGCCTCGGCGCCGTAGGTCAAGGAGAAGGGGTCTCTTGCGTAGCTGACCTCGGCGTGGTTCGATACGACCATAGGACACTGGGGAGTTCCTCCACCCAAGATGACCCAACTCGGTGGAGTCGGGTCTTGAGACCATGCAAGAGAGTTCGGTTGAAGTTCTCTGCTTGACCATTGGCCTGGGGGTGGCCTACCGAAGTGAAATGTTGTTTGATGCCAAGGTTTGCGCACCAAGCTTTAAAGGGGTTCTCAGCAAATTGCCTTCCATTATCCGAGATGATGATCTGTGGTATGCCGAAGCGGCAGACGATGCATTTCCAAAAGAATTTTTGAATTGCCAGTCCGGTGATGGTCCTCAGAGGCTCGGCCTCAACCCACTTAGTGAAATAATCCACAGCGGTTACCAGGAAGGTATAACCCCCGACGGCTCTGGGAAAAGGACCTATGATGTCTGTCCCCCATTGCTCGAACGGTCAGGGTGAAGTGATGGGAACCATGAAGTTTGAGGGCAGGTGGTGCTCGGGTGCGTGGACTTGGCAGAAAGCGCAGCCGAGAACAAGATCCTGGACGTCCTGCCGAACAGAGGGCCAGAAATATCCAAGAAACAAAGCCTTCTTGGGTAGCATTCTGTGGCCGACGTGAGCTCCGCACAGGCCTTCGTGGATCTCGTGGAGGACGTGGCGTCCTGTCTCGGGAGTGACACACCTCAGCCATGGGCCGAGGTAGGAACGTTTGTACAGCTCTTCATCACGGAAAGCGTACCGAGCCGCCTTGCGTTGTATTCTTCTCGTCTCGGCTCGGTCTTAGGGGAGGGTTCCCTGACCCAAGAAAAGGATGAACGGGGTCATCCAGGTTTCTTCAGAGTGCACGGGGCAGGCCACCTCTTGCACGTATCCTGGTTCACTCAGGACCTCCACTAAAATTGTTTTGTTGAGGTCAGAGAATGATGTGGAAACCAGCCGGGATAGGGCGTCGGCTCGCTTGTTTTGGGACCGGGGTATCATTTGGATTTCAAAAGACTCGAAGTACGCGGTGAGTTGGTGAACTTTGGAGAGGTACCGTTGCATGGTCTCATCCTTGGCCTCGTATTCACCAAGAACTTGGCGTACAACGAGTTGGGAGTCACTGCGGACGTGGATTTGCTGGACGCCGAGCCTGCGGGCCAACTGGAGTCCAGCAATTAATGCCTCGTACTCGGCCTCATTATCGGTGGCTGGGAAGCCAAATCGGAGGGCGTACGAGCACACCTCTCCCTGAGGTCCTTCCAGGAGCAGTCCGGCTCCGCAGCCATCTCAATTAGAGAATCCATCGACATACAGTGTTCACAGGGATGGGGTGGACACCTCGGCAGAGGCGGAGGTGGACTCCGAACCTTCCGTGAAGGTGAGCTCGGCAAGGAAGTCGGCTAAGGTTTGTGCTTTCATGGCGGTGCGAAACTCATACGACAAGTCATATTCTCCCAATTCGACAGCCCACTTGGTGAGGCGACCAGAAGCTTCGGGTCGCACCAATATCTGACGGATGGGCTGATCGGTCCTGACGGAGATGGGATGAGCTAAGAAGTAGGGCTTCAATCGCCGAGCTGCGTGGACTAGTCCCAGCACAAGTTTTTCTACTTGAGTGTATCGAGTCTCCGGTCCGCGGAGAGCTCGGCTGACATAGTAGACTGGCACTTGAGTGCCCTCATCCCGGATAAAAACAGCGCTGACAGCCTCGTCAGCTGCAGAGAGGTAGAGGTAGAGCTTCTCCTCGGGCCGAGGTGAAGCGAGAGTTGGCAGGTGATGGAGGTATTGCTTCAGCTTGTCAAATGCAGCCTGGCACTCCTCAGTCCAGGCGAACTGATCAGACTTCTTCAGCACCTTAAAGAAAGGCAAAGATTTCTCAGCAGATTGGGACAGGAAGCGGTTCAGCGCGGCCAGGCGCCCATTTAGTCTTTGGACTTCTCGGAGGTTCCGAGGTGGAGACATGTCCTGAATGGCCTTGACCTTGTCGGGGTTGGCCTCGATTCCTCGGCGGGAAACCAGATATCCTAAGAATTTTCCGGAGGTGACGCTGAAGACGCACTTCTTGGGATTCAACTTCATCCTCGAGTCCCGCAGGACGCCGAAGACCTCCCTCACATCGGACAGAAAAACCGAAGTGGTTAGGCTCTTGACGAGAATGTCGTCCACGTAGGCCTCCACATTGCGGCCGATCTGGTTTTTGAAGAGGCGGTTAATCAACCTCTGGTAGGTCGCCACGGCGTTCTTTAGCCGGAATGGCATGGTAGTATAGCAATAAGTACCTCGGTCGGTGTAGAACGCCGTTTTCTCTTGGTCCTCTTCACTCATCCCTATTTGATGATACCCTTTGAAGCCATCTAGGAAGCAAAGGATCTCGTAACCCATCGCCGAGTCGACGAGGGTATCTATCCTTGGGAGAGGATAGCAGTCTTTAGGGCAGGCCTTGTTGAGGTCGGTGAAGTCCACACACATTCTCCATCCACCGGTATCCTTTTTGACCATGACTGGGTTGGACAGCCAGGTGGGATATTGGACCTCATGGATCATCTTGGCGGGCAAGAGCTTGTCGACCTCATCCAATATGGCCTTGCTACGTTCGGGGCCGAAGTGCCTTCGCTTCTGCCGCACAGGGCGGGCCTGTGGATTAACATTGAGTTGGTGAGTCATGAGCTCGGGTGGCACTCCGACCACTTCATCCGCGGACCACGCAAAGACATCTCGGTGGTCCTTGATCAGGCAGATCATTTCTTCTTTCAGGGGTGAGGGGAGTCCGGCCCCTACTTGGATCACTCGATCAGGTTTCGCTTCATCCAAGACCACTTGTTCCACCTCATCCCCGGGCTCAAGCCTGCTGGGCTCTCCTGCCTTCTGAGGATCAATGCAGTCTATGGAGAGGACCGCTAGCCTCTTTTCTTCTGACCTCGGTGAGGGTCGGGGTGTGACTGCAGCTTGAATGGTGGCGAGGTAGCATTCCCGGGTTGCGCCCACGTCGCTGCTCACCTCGGCCACCCCCGCAGGTGTCGGGAATTTAAAACTCAGGTGGTAGGTGGAGTATACGGCTCTCAAGGCGTTGAGCGTGGGTCGACCTATCAGCATGTTGTAAGGAGAGTCCGCTTTGACCACCGCAAAGCTAACAGGCACGGTTCGGCAGCGGGGATGACGCCCAATAGTCACCGTCAAGGTCACCATCCCTTCCGGGTGAACGACGTGTCCCCCGAAGCCGACAAGGGGAGTTCTGACCGGAGTGAGTTGCTCCCTGGTCAGCTTCAAGCTCTCGAAAGTTCGGTAGTACATGACGTCAACCGAGCTTCCGAGGTCAACATAGACCTTCTTGACTATGTAATTATTAGTAAGGACCTCGATCACGAGAGTCTCGTGATTACTGGAGGCGGCGGGCACAGGGTCATGGGGACCGTAGGTGATCACCTCGAACAACCGGGAGCTCGGCTCCGCCGCCTCCATGCCGGCCTGGCGATATGTCCGTTTTCAGGAGTTCTGACTGTCTCCTCCCGTTGGGCCACCTGAGATGGTGTTGATCACTCCGACAATATTTGGGCCGTAGCCCGGCGATCCGTCGCGTGGAGGCCTCTGATCCCCCTTATGGTCCTCAGGACCTCGGCAATGGAGTTTGGTATCCCGCCTGTCCTCTCGGCGGGGTCCCCGGCTCTCCCGGTGGGAGGCGCTTCGGTTGAAATCTCCATCTTTGCGGACAAATTGTTTCAGGTGTTCTTGACGAATCAGGTTTTCGATTTCTCGCTTCAGATCGTTGCAATCTTCGGTCTCGTGCCCGACGTCTCGGTGGTATGCACAATAGAGGTTGGAGTTCCTCCTATCCCTCCTTCCCGGAATCTCAGGAGGTGTTCGGCCGAGGTGATTTTGCCTCATCACCGCCAAAACATGAGATCGGCTAGAATTGAGCGGGGTCAGCTCGGCGTCCGAGGTGGAAGATCGGCCTTTCACGATCCGGTCAAAGACACTCCGGCGGTCTCGGGGTTGGTTTGAAGTGCCACTTGGGTCTGGTTCACCTCGACCGGTGTCTTTCTTCCTCCGGGGATCTTGCCTCATACGAGATGCTTGGGCTTCTCGCTTCATGCGATTTACATCCTCATTTCGGATTCCCTGGTCCACTCTTTCCCAGAGTTCCCGAAGTGTATGGGGGTACTCCCGATAGATTTCGGTGTTAAAGATCCCTGCCACTAACCCGTTGGTGAAGGCAGCGATAGTTACCTGCTTGTTCTGATCAGGTATCTGCACATTCTTCTCGTTGAACCGTTGGGCGTACGAGCGAAGTGACTCGCCCTGACCCTGTTGCAGGTTCAAGAGGTAAGCTGAAATCTTGGTGATTGGTCGAGACGACACAAAGCGGTGGATGAACCGGTCTATCAGATCATCCAGGGAGGAAATACTCCTTGGTTCTAAACTCCAGAACCACTTCCGGACAGTCCCATGTAGAAAAATGGGGAAAGCCCGACAGATCACGGCGTCGGGGACTTAGTAAAGTCGGAATGCGGAGATGAAGGCGCGAAGGTGATCCTCGGGGTCACCTCGACCGTCATAGGTGTGCAAGTTTGGAAGCTTAAAGTTCGGGGGCACCATTTCCCCATTGATGTCATCAGTGAAGGGCGGAGCCCTCATGTAGTCAGAAGCTAGGCCTCCAGGGCGCCGAGGTGGGTCCTCGACCCGTTTCCCTAGCAGTCCCCGGGAAAACGCCCGGGAGATGGAGGCAAGTTTAGAGGTCGCTTTGGAGGACGCGCGCCTGGAGGTACTCCGAGAGAGACGTCCCTCATCAGAGTCCTCTCCTGAAGGTATTTCAGGGGACTTCGCCGATCTTCTCTTGGAAGATTCGACTTTTTCTTTCCCCTGCCTCTTGAGGTACCTTCCTAGTTTCTCAAAGATGTTGGGGTTGTCCGTGACAAACTCGGCCATCTTGGCGATGGCGTCTTCGTTGTTGGGCTGGGTCTTTTGGGACCCTTGTTCTTCAGAGATGCGATCATGCTGGACTCCCGAGGTCTGCCCAGCCCCGTTTGAGGGAACTCTTCCGCTTCTGGAGCGCGTGGATCTCATTTTAGTATTGATCTCGTTCCCACAGACGGCGCCAATTGAAGGGGTGATTTTTGGTTGGTAGCTGAACCGACCTAAATCAGCCCTCTCTGAGGTGGTGTGATAGGTCCGAAGTGAACCTACTTGGCTGAAGTGAATGGCGGGGCTTCTCCCCTGGGATCACTCCGACGATCAAGTTAGTATGAGAACGAGAAAATACTAAAGTATAAGCAAATGAACAGTATGCTTACTTGTTGAGGGTGTATGTGGGGTATTTATAGGAGAGTAGAGGACAGGACGGAAGGCTCATGCTAGTGGGACCCACTCTCTGGCATTACGGCTCTGTCTCCTGTCAGGAAGCCTGACCCTGACACTGTAGCCTTCTGGGTATGATGACGGCGAGTATTGTGCAGGTGCCATTAAGTGCCTCCAGTGCTTTTCAGATAAAGCACTGGTCCTGGGTGATGTCAGGTGGCTTGACATCATCAGCGTGCAGCTGAGGTGGAGGTGCCGAGGTCACCTACACGGTAGACCAGGGATCCGGCCGAGCTCAGGAGCTATGGTCAAGACACGGGTGAGCTCTGATGAGGGACGAGGTGGATTCACCTCAGACATACGGGCTGGTCGATGTGAGCATTCTCAATACAAGACACGGGTGAGCTCTGATGAGGGACGAGGTGGATTCATCTCGGACATACGGGCTGACCGAGGTGAGCATCCTCACTATGCATATGGAGGACAAATATAGATCAGTAGGGAGAATAATGTTTGAGTTAAGTTTTAAATTAGTGTACAAAAGGTGAATAATCATGAAAGGAAACATTAATTCCATTATGTTCAAATTAAAAAATTGTAATAATAATGTTCTTTGATTCAAGCCGTAATATTTAAATCTATTTAGGAGACAAAGCATCATCGTAATTAGGGGTGGAAATTGAAGCAAATATACAACTGTGAGACCTCCTTTTTTTAATTTTATCTGTTGCTTTCTTCTTTGCTTTTGATAAAATATAATATTTCATTCCACGAAATCTACAACAATGGTAGAAAATATATTGAACATGCAATTAATCATAGCATTAAAAATCTAGAAAATTACAAATATTATATTGTGAAACTCTAACATATGAGATAAATCACGAGTAGCCAATGAACCCAAAATCGATGCTGAGAGCAATCTAAGATCTAACATATAAATTTAAAATAACTTTTATATCTAATAAAAAATAACTAAACAAAATTCCCTTGAGGATATTCTAGGTTTTGGATTAGCTGTTTTTGGAGGTGTTTTTGAAAAATTTTGTTATAGCAGAATTTTTAGAGTACATTTTGGGATATTTTTAAAAAATATTTTGGGATATTTAAGAGTAGAAGAATTTCTAAAATATATTTTGAAATATTTTTTAAAATTTTAAAAAAAATTTACACTCATTTTTAGATTACCTTTTAGAGTATTTTTTAAAAAAATTTTATTGTATTTGAAAAACACTCTCATCCAAACAGAGATTTTAAAATTCATACTAATAAACACATATTTAGTAACTTGTGACCTCTATTCAATCAGTATAACAGATATTTAGTCTAAAGCTAATAGTCCAGAAATCGCCTGAATAGCATTGCAACTGACGTAGCTTGACCTGAACCTCTTAAATTTCTTTTCTTTTCTATTTTTTCTTCCAAAAACATATAAAATTCATAATTAGCAATCAATCCATATAACATTATCCTATATCCGATCTGAACAGTAAATTATTATATGTTATTTCGCTTTCAAGTTCCTCATGTATGTTGACTTTATACAATTATATGGAGGTGAAATGCTTCTTGTTTGTCTTCAAAGAACCAATATCTTATCGAGGCGCCTTCCTGGCAAATGAGAAAAGGCATTGCAATAATAAAAAATTAAGTTCAATTGCGGTACCTTTTGACTACATTTTATTATTTTTATACTGATTGACAGGTGTCGAACCTGTGCAATAACAATAAATAAATAAATAAAACTTAACTATCACCAAAAGTAGCCAATAATCAATTTAGGTATTGGAGCAGGGACTCTAGATGTGCAATGGGTTACTTGATTTACCCTATTCTCGAAGACTTTGGTTAATCCGATATACCCGAATTAATTATTTAACTAAATTCACTAACTAGCAGTCAGTGGCAAGTAGGGTCGTCTCCTCAGGGACTGGGGAAAAAAATTTATTTCCTTTGAATCAGAACAAATAGGGGGTTTTAAATTTAAAAGCTAATTAAATAATTTAACTACAGAAAATAATTAATTAAAAGAAATAATTAGGAGAGCTCTAACCAAGGGTACACTTCAGAAATGGTTCAAGCACTGATCATTGATGCAAAAATAATCCCAACAATTATTAATAGATTGGTTATAGTTGTCATGCACGCGATAAACAACCAACCCTTCCTTAATTTCTCGATAGTTAAGGTGCGACCGTTAATTATTTCTCTAACCCAAAAACAACTCTAAATACGACCGTAGAATTTAATTGCTAGATTGCATTAACAATTAGAGAAGTTCAATCCTAACTAACAAATACGCGCCCTCAGGGGTTTGGTCTGGTGGTTGAGGTTGCTGAAGATGGAGCCTCAGGTCCCTGGTTCGAACCTTGCTGCCAGCAAGTTGCTGAGGGTGGTGAATAGTCTGCGGGGTCCACTCCCTGCGGGACACACCAAAAAAAAAAAAAAACTAACAAATACGCTACGAGGGTTTGTTTAAACTAGATCATACTACATATTCAATTATCCCTATTTAACAAAATAACCTATATGAATAATTAATTATTACGCACTAATCAATCATACACAAGAACTATAACAATTAAAAACAGCATAAAAATATAATGAAAAGCGATTTAGATTTCACAGTAATTACTGAACCAATTTATCAGTTGTCTCTTAATTAGAATTGGGGATTTAGTTCCCCATCAATTGAGAACAGCCCAAGCGAGTATGTCTGACCAGAGCCATGAATTCTTGCTTTTAGATCGGTCTACCCAAGAAAGAAAAGAACAAGGGCTTTCGTACTCTCAATTTGTTTCCAGTGCAAGCGTACGAAGGAGTTTAGTTTCTCCCTTTTGTATCAGTCAAGCAGAAGTAAAAGTAAGAGCCAAAAATGTCAACAATGGCGGCTGCCTTCTTTTTGCTCACAAGTGCTAAGCAAATCAATAAAACAAGTAGTCCCCCGAAAATGGAGGAAAAGATTTCCTCTTATCTGAAACTGGTATTCCAAAAAACAAAACTCCCTCAATAAAATAAAATAAAATTTATTACAAGTTAATTTCTTCAGCTTTTCTCAAGCGAGCTCCACTGCTTTAAATGTCCCGCGTAAGATAAATTCTCTAAATTTTGATTTTAAGTATTTTTCAGCATTAAATCCTGTAATTGACATCAAAATTATATTCGAGTAAAATCCAATCAATTAATGTAATATTTAATCAAATAACTATGCAATTAGATCCCAAAATATCCCACTAAAATGCTATCACTGATTGTTTACTACCATTTTTCGAACTTGAACTATGACAAATTCAACGAAGAGCTCGTTGTGAAGATTAAATACTAATTCATCCCAACTGACTTTCTGACAATTGCGTCTCAACGCATCAAGAAATCCCACAAAATCTGCTAATGTTCCCACCGCTCTTTAATTGCAACATGTCGGCCTTTATTCAGCAATCAAGAAACGAGGTTTAGCTTCACAATTTGGAATGAATGATCTAAGGTTTATCCATGGTTTATTTTTGTTTCTTTGCCTTGTTGTTCTATCTTCAGCTGAGACAAGATTTCCAATGGCGAAGCCAGGATGCAATGATACTTGTGGAAATGTGACAATTCCATACCCATTTGGGGTTGGCCCTGATTGTGCTCTCAATGAAGCATACAGCATACTCTGTACGGATGTCTCTGGCGATTCCATTCATGGTTTAAGGCCATTTCTGGGGCTTCATCCGGGACAAAGTTCCCAGACAATCATGGAGGTGCTGGGAATCTCCCTGAGTGACCAAACTGTAACCATCAATTATCCAGTTTATCAGATCTGCTCTGTGAACGGGTCAACGGTTGATATGGCCTTCATGGATACTTTCCTTGCTCAAGTTCCTTTCTATGTTTCTAGAGAACATAACAAGCTGATGCTTCTTGGCTGTGGTAATGCTCTCCTCAAATTGATAAATGGCGGTCCGCAGATCTTGTCTGGTTGCACCTCAATGTGTAACAGCACCATGATAACCGGTTGCTATGGTATCAATTGTTGTCAGGCAAGCATTCCATACTACCTCAGCCAATACAGCTTGCGCTTAACAGCCTCTCAGAACTTTACATCTAGCACCTGTGCTTATGCCTTCTTGGTTGACCAAAACTGGAAGTTAGAGAGCTATATCAACCCTCCAAAAGTACGTCTGGTTCATGCTCCTGTTGTTTGGTCCTGGCCCCTGAATCATTCTGAAATCGTTACCATCTCAGGTTGCAGTCCCAGAATAAGCTCCCTTGAGTTAGAATCCAGCACCATTCCCACTTATCAGTGTGAATGCAGCACCTTAGGAGATGATACGTGGTTTTACCAAGTCAATCCATACTTAGATGGTGCCTGCAAACATGGTAAGTTTTCGAGAGAGTGGATCGTTTCTGTAATAAATTTTTCCTCCCCCTACCATGTTGTCCTTTCTGACCTTTCTCTAAAAATTTGTTTCTTTTGAATCTTGTTTCTTTTTGAAGCCATTTCGGAAATCAGGGGCAAGGGGAACAGAAAAGCGATTATTACTGGTAAGCCATCCATCCTTTCTGGAGCTTCCATTTCTTATACTAAGAAAATTAGTCGGAAAATGGTCTTCATTTCAACTGTTGTTTAAAGTTATCTTTTGCAGTGATGG